GCAAAGCCTCCTCCCTCATTATACATGTTTTGGTGAACCTGCAAGAGTAAGTTGTCATATGTATTCATAAATAAGTCCAGTCATTTACTGATGGGCACTAGCCATTTTCTTTTCACCTCACCTGCCACGCCTGCTCCATCAACACATTACTGCTGCCACCATGTCTGCTTTTGCTGGGTGTGGATCCTGCTTTGTCTGGAAATCGCCACTCTGAGTACAGTAATGTAAAGGGCTGCCAGTCCTACTTATGTTCTACTGGGCACCCACCCCTGTGGCCACTTCACGACCCTTAAACCAAATATTCCAGGGGCCTTAAAGCGGTTCTAAGTAGAGTGTCTCTCTCCCCTTTGTCCTATTCTTTTTTCGTGGGAAACTGGAGCAATATTGTTTATACATCAGAGCATTTTTCGAAACAACTTGTACAGTTTTCTCAGTCCTCCCACCCCCAGTGAAACTACAAATGAATCCTGTTTTCAGGTCCAGATCAAAGACTTTACACTGTGCTAGTCTCAGAATTTCCCCTTATGTCCAAATGCAAAGAGTCAAGGCTTTGTACTTGACATTCTGTGCTGTCTACAGACATCATTTTGCTTATTATCCTCCATAATTTCCTAGCAGTTTAGGATTTTCAAATTTAGTAAAGATACGCAGTGGACCACCCACTCCACTATTCTTGCCTGGAAAAATCCCATGGATGGAGGAGCCTGGTAGGCTGTAGTCCATGGGGTCGCGAAGACTTGGACATGACTGAGCGACTTCACTTTCACTTTTCACTTTCACTTTTCACTTTCCTGCATTAGAGAAGGAAATGACAACCCACTCCAGTGTTCTTGCCTGGAGAATCCCAGGGACTCTATGGGGTCTCACACAGTCGGACACAACTGAAGCGATTTAGGAGCAGCAGCATGCAGTGGACCTGTGGGTTTTCAAGTTAAAAGCTTCTCTACCTTTTATAAATAATAGCCAGTATGGATTAAAAAGGAGCTGTGATTGACTCTTCATTTCTGTCATCAGGGGAATGTCTCTTGTTTGTTTACGGCTGTGCTGGGTCTTGGTTGCTGCTCAGGCTTCTCCAGTTGCAGCGAGCAGGGGCTAGTCTTTGTTGAGGTGCACAGTCTCCTCTTTATGGTGGCTTCTCTTTTGCAGATCACAACTAGGTGCAAGGACTCAGGAGTTATGATGCGGGTGGGTCCAGCCACTCCGTGGCAAGTCAGATCCTCTCAGACCGGGGATTTGAACCCATGTCCTCTCCTTTGGCATGCAGACTCTTAACCACTGGACCACAAGGGAAGTCTCAGGGGAATGTTTTGACAAAATCTTTATTACTGATTGACTTAAACTGAAAAATAGACTTACAAGTGTAGTCTTCTTTTGATATGTAAGTAAAAGTGTGGCCTTCTGTTTTTGGCTAAAATTTTATGGCTAATTTGCATGATGAAACCTTATTATGTAGCTACCAACAGCTAAACTTCAGCCTTAGTTAGAATTCATAAATTCTCATTATTGGTATCTAAGTAAACACTAAATTGAAGAGTGCTTTTATTTCCTAGTATAGTCTACAAATTATGACTTTAGTGCTCAGTGTCTAAGAAAGTATGTGCCTGTTTCATCATATCTTTTCTTCCCTGTTCCTAGTGAAGTATTAATTCATTTGCATGGCCTAATTCAATACTTCCTCTGGGGTAGAAGCTTCTCTACATATAGGTACTTTTCCATTATAAAATCCCTCTTGTACTAAGTCATTCATTCATTTCTCTCTATGTAAGGTAGTTCAGTTCAGTGGCTCAGTTGTATCCGACTCTTTGCAACCCCATGGACTGCAGCATGCCAGGCTTCCCTGTCCATCACCAACTCCTGGAACTTGCTCAAACTCAAGTTGGTGATGCCATCCAACCATCTCATCCTCAGTCGTCCCCTTCTCCTCCTGCTGTCAGTCTTTCCCAGCATCAGGGTCTTTTCTAAGGAGTCAGTTCTTTGCATCAGGTGGCCAAAGTGTTGGAGCTTCAGCTTTAGCATCAGTCCTTCCAATTAATATTCAGGTTTGATTCCTTTACGATTGACTGGTTTGATCTCCTTGCAGTCCAGGGGACTCTCAAGAGTCTCCTTCAACACCAGTTTAAAAACATCAGTTCTTCGGCACTCAGCTTTCTTCATGGTCCAACTCTCACATCTCTACCTGAGTACTGAAAAAAACATAGCTTTGACTATACCTTTAAGATCATGTTTAATACTTCTTTGTTTTTTCCATATAAATTTACATGGTGCTAGACATTTGAGTAATAGCAGCAGATACTACAGCAGCAATATTAAGATTGGTACCCTCAAAATAGTCCTGTGGTAGGTACTTTATTATACCCATTATATGTTTGGGGAAACTTAGAGAAATTAAGTAATTTATGCAAATTAGTGAGTAACCTGAGAAGTTAGAGAATTTCCCTAGTGACTCAGCGGTAAAAGAATCCACCTGCAATTCAGGAGACACAGGAGACTTGAGTCTTCCTGGGTCAGGAAGGTTCCCTGGAGTAGGAAATGGCAACCCACTCCAGTATTCTTGTCTGGAAATTCCATGGACAGGAGTCTGGCAGGCTACAGTCCATAGGATTGCAAAGAGTCGGACATGGCTGATCACTGAGCACATCTGTACGTGTGTGTGAGAGGTTAGAATAAGAAGCCAGGTAGTTAAGAGTTTAGAGTCCACATATTAAGTTTAATAAATATGGAATTTATTTAATTTATTAATTGACTCTTAGGCGGTGCCATGAAGCATACAGAATCTTAGTTCCCTGACCAGAGATTGAACCCATGTCCCTTATATTGGGAACTCGGATTCTTAACTATTGGACTGCCAGAAATCTCATTCATTAATTGATTCTTCAAACAAATATTCCAGGCCTCACCTATCTGAATGACAAAGGTGTGGTTTACATATTCTATATAAGTAAGTATTTTAGTCTTAAAAAAGTACAACTATGATAATTCTGAATAAGTCTCGTGAAACTGACTCAAAGCAATTTCAAAGAACACAGCTTTGGAAATATTTTGAATAATGGCAGCCTCTCTAGTCACTCCCAGGTGACAAATCAGAAAGATAATAGTTGAATTGAAAAATACAGGTTAGTTTTAATATCCCTTTTTCTCTATTGCCTGCTAGTAAGGAACTGCATCCTTCATGGTAATGAGCCCACTACTATATATATGGCAGCCATCTTCTGGTTAGAATACCATATCTGGAGGTCAAAGGGTCTTTTGTTTCATCTCTAAACTTTTAAGGCACTTTAGTACAAGGAAGAAAGTGATTTCAGATCAATCCAAAATTTACTATTTATTACAGCCTGTTTTTTGCTACTCTTTGCAACTTCATTTTTCTATTATTTTCTGCCATGCCTCTTGATCTAACACTGTTGTTTTACTCAAACTACTGTGTATACACTCTGTACACTTCTGTGTACCCCAATACAGTGAGTGTCCTGTCGTTGCGGGCAGAGTCTGAAAACCTGTCCTTTTAGATTCAAAGCCCGCCTCTACTACCTGCTGGCTATATGTCTTTTCTGTGTCTTAGTTACCTCATTTTAGGAGTAATAGTGATACTACTTCAAGGAGTTACATATTTGAGTTAATATGTGTAAAATTTTAGAAGAATGCTTGTCACAGGTAGGTCCATAGTATTATATGCTGCTATCATCATCATTTAACTGGTGAAATTCTTTGCTTCTCCGAGGTCCTGTGAACATTTTATAATTTCTCAGTAGCTTTCTCAGTGCCCTGCTGTTCCAAGCATCCTTGAGCCCTTTTGTTATACTGTGAAATTGATTACTCTGCCATTTCAATAATTAGTAACTGTGTGTCATTAGTTGAATATGCATCTGAATCTTGATGATTGTAAGTGCATTGAGGTCAAAAGTAAAGGTGAAGTAAAGACTAACAAAGTCTGTATTATGTCTAAAATTATTTTGGATTATCATTCATAAATATTATGGGGAAATATTTTTAGTCACTCCTAATGTTAAAGAAGCTGAGAGCTTTTTTCTCCATATAATAAATGTCATAAAATATTTTTCAAGTTATTATTTTCATATAGTAGATGTCACAAAATATTCAGAAGTTTGTTGGAAATAACAGTTCTTTTTATGATCTGTATAAAGAAAATGTCAATAGTTTATGTATTTCTAATATACAGGAAAATTTACATGTAGTATAATACTTACATGTATTTCCAAGCAAACATTGGAAAGTTACTTAAATTCCTTTCAAATATTTGTAAAATGTTACTTTTCTTTTTTTTTTCCAGATTGACCTTCCTCCAATTAGTCAAAATTAATGAAGCACTAATTAATTGTTTTTAAAGTATAAATAATATCCATCACTAAGCCCTGCTGTTAGAACTGGGAGGAAATATAAGATGTAAAGTTTTGCTATCTTTTTAAAAAAAATGAATGTAGTATAGAATATCTGGATCTATCATGACATGCAGATGAACAAATTAATTTGAATGCTAATGTGGTTTCACACAGTTTACATCTAAGTAAATATGTTTCCTATAATAGTAACTATATACCATTTATCTTGGGAATTCCATTTTAATTAGCCTGTTTGCATGTGAAAGATTGCAGATATTTGCTTTTTATATTAAAAATGCACCACAGAATGTTTTTGTACTTAATAACTACCTAGCAGATATTTCTTTTCCTTACTTTAAATACTAAATAATTCTAAATATACTCAGTTGTAAAAATCATATATTATTGGAAACCCAAATATATATATATTCTTCTTACTATGTTTCTCAATGTGATGACGTACTAAATCTAGGAAAAATTATTTTTTTTCATTTATTTCTGGGTGATTAACTAAGGATATATTAAATTGTGTTTATTCTGATGAACCGTATCTCAAATACCAGTAGTGACAAATGATTCTTTTTATTATTTCTAAGGGATCTTGATTTTATTGGCAATAGAAGATAATTAATTGACACCTCTTCTTAATTATTTTTTAAACAGGATAGAGATTCCTTCTGCCATCAGATGTCATTCTGCTTGACTGAACTGCACCTGTGGTCTTTGAAGAATACCTTACACATTGGCGGTAAATAAACTGGATTAATTTCAATATTTTTCAAATATAAGTTACAATAATATAAATACCTAATAGCAAAGGTTAGAGCCTAGATTCTCCGTGAAACTGCATCATTTTCTTTATACTTAATGAAAAATCGGCTGGTGGAAAGGAATTTCTTTTAGTTAACTCTGATTAACTTATTTTTTTGAACTTGAGTTACATTTTCTGTTTAAAACATTACTTTTATCCATCTAATATCTATTTCCTCTTAAGATATATGTAAGATTTTCTAGCTTTTTTCCCTGAGATTGTTCATAATAACATGTTTATATTCATAAATATTTACAGGCTTGCAAATGGTAAATGCATTTCTATTTGATATAAAAGGAGTATTTCAAACATACAGCTCATATGTACAATTGTATCCTTGTTTTTTGCGAAGGGAGTAATGTAAATCTGTTTTAACAATGTTTATTAGTATTTGAGGATGAAGTATATATCATTAGGAAACATCTTTTAAAAAATCTTTTCCTTTTGAAAAATCTAAAGCAACTCTTGTATTTAGGAGGACATATGTATTTAAATGTCTTCAGCATCATTTCTAAGAAACCGGTTTACCTTGCAAAGCATTGTTTATTTATAACAAATATACAACTACAGATGATGTCATTATAATTTCATTACATTTAATGTGCTTAAAATATGTAAGGAAAGAATTTCCAGTTAAAGTGAACTTAACACACACTTGCTTCCTCCCAAGATTCTTCTAAAATAAGAGTAAATGAATTACTCTAATAAAGGTGTAAACCCACAAGGACTAAGCGACTAGGAAAGGAGACAGTTGCTGTTGAGTTGTTTTTGGAAGGCATAGAAAAGTTACCAAAGCTCAAAAATCTGAATATCAGATGTCTACAGAAAATTCCACTGACAGCAAACTTGGGTTTCAAAAGTCTTGAGAGGTACAGAAATTTGAGGAGTCAGATAATGCAAAAGGATGAGACTGCGGCATGAGGTGATCAGAAAGAGACTTGAAAATCTATATAAGAAGTAGTGAGACACTGGAAATACTTGATTTTGGGAAGTTCAAAATTAGCTGCAATGGAAAAAGATAGGGGAGAGGTGCTGAACTGAAAACAGGGAAAACTGAAATGAAAGCCTACATAGGAATATTCTTAATCCCTTTATAATCAAATTAATCTTAATCTCAGAATGTCACAGAAGGAAGAAGTTGAGGGAGTCCTCTCTGGAGAGACTACTTGGCCCCAGAAGGAAGGCCTATTTACATTGATATTTAATGTGGTCTTCCAGTGAAACACCCAGATCCCTGAGTGGTCAGTGAAACCCACTGTTGGCAAGCCCTGTTCGTGTATATTGATCTTTTAATCAGCTTTCTAGTGCCTCACTTTTAAATACGAGCAGCAAGAAATGAAATATAGATGTTTCAGGAAACAGTTGAAAATTATATTAATCTTTTGGAAAGTAAAAGTATGTAGCAGAAAAAAAGTTTTAATTCAAATGAGTAAAAGAAATTGGGGAAAGAAAAAAAAACAGGGGAAGAAACTTATTTCACTGCTGATGAAAGTATGAGTTGGTCCAACCATTTTAGGAAATAATTTGGCATTACCTGTTTTGCCTTGTTGTTGTTGTTCAGTTGCTCAGTCATGTCTGACTCTTTGTGACCCCACGGACTACAGCTTGCCAGGCTTCCCTGTCCTTCACCGTCTCTCGGAGCTTGCTCAAACTCATGTCTATTGAGTCAGTGATGCCATCCAGCCGCCTTGTCCTCTGCCGTCCCCTTCTCCTCCTGCCTTCGGTCTTTCCCAGCATCAGGGTCTTTTCTAATGAGTTGGCACTTCACATCAGGTGGCCAAAGTACTGGAGTTTCATACAGTAGGCAAAGTATTTTGCCTACTGACCAGTAATTCAACTCCTAGATATATACCATAGTGAAAGCCTTGATAACTTGAGTGCACCAGGAAACATGTATGAAAATGTTCTTAATAGTAATCATCCTTAGCTAGAAACCATTCAAATGTCAATCAGCAGGGGAATGGATAAATATATTTATGCAACAGAGAAAATGAATGAGTTGAAACTGTATGCAACAGCATAGATGAATGTCAGGAATATGTTATAGGGAAAAAGTTTAAAAAGTAAGCTGCAGCATACATACAGTATGCTTGTACTTAAAGTTCAAAAACAGTGGCTAAATTAAACAATGTGTTGTTTCAGGAGACAAGTATATGTGGAAGAACTGTAAAGAACATTAGATTATAAACACAGAATTTAGTATAGCTCTGACAAGGAAGGGAGTGGAAGTGAAATGGTAAAGGGCACACAGCAACTTTAAAGATAATGTTCTTAGGAGAGGGTTTGAGATGTTAGCATAGGAAGAGCCTGAAACTCACCTCTTCCCATAGGTACAACAAATTTAATTAAGTACATATGGAACATGGATGAAGAGAGCCTCCACAACAAAAGGTAAAAGGATAGCACTGAGATGGGTAGGACAGACAGACAGTATTGCCAAGAGGAAAAACCACATCCAGGCCGCAGCAATCCACAACTGGGAGAGATAACAAAGGTACGGATCTTCTCTCTCAGTTGTGAGGGATTCAGGTTCCACATCAGCCATCCCAACCCCTAGATCCTACGCAGGAGAGACAAGCCCCTAAAATACCTGACTTTGAAAACCAATGGGAAATGTATCCAGGAAAATTATAAAACTGCAGGGAACAGAAAACCCACTGCTGAAGGGGTGTGTGAAAACTCAGTTGATTTGAGTTTTCAACACAAAACACAAGATTGAGAAACATATGGACTGTAGGTAAAGGGGACCCAGTTACTAATCTTAAAGCATCTGCCAGAGAGTCAGGAACCAACTGGGACACTCCCTGGGAACTGACATACTGGCTGAAGACAAAAAAAATGTCTGTGTGCAGGACTGCAGCATGCACGACTGGAGTTCCCCAGCCAGTGGCTGAACTCTTGCACTCTGCAATGGAGGTGTGGAGTCAGACACTGGACTGCCAGAGATGTCACAGGACATTTCTTATGAAGGCCACTCCTTCAAGACTGGGAAAGATAACTGATTTACTTAATATATAGACATAAACAGGGAGACTTAGGCAAAATGAGACAGAGGGATACATTCCAATCAGAAAATACAGCAAAAACTTCAGAGCTATGTCAAGGCTGTATGTTGTCACCTTGCTTATTTAACTTCTGTGCAGAGCACATCATGCAAAATGCTGGGCTGAATGAAGCTCAAGCTGAAATCAAGATTTCTGGGAGAAATATCAATAACCTCAGATATGCAGATGAACCAACCTAATGGCAGAAAGCTTAAAGATCCTCTTGATGAAGATGAAAGAGGAGAGTGAAAAAGCTGGCTTAAAACTCAACATTCAAAAAACTAAGATCATGGCATCAGGTCCCATCACTTCATGGCAAGTAGATGGAGAAACAATGGAAACAGTGACAGATTTTGTTTTCTCGGGCTCCAGAATCATTGCAAATGGTGACTACAGCCATGAAATTAAAAGGTTATTGCTCTTTGGAAGAAAAACTATGACAAACCTAGATAGCATATTAAAAAGCAGAGACATCACTTTGCTGACAAAGGTCCGTATGGTCAAAACTATGGTTTTTCCAGTAGTCATGTACATATGTGAGAGTTGGACCAGAAAGAAGGCTGAGTGCCAAAGAATTGTTGCTTTTGAACTGTGGTGTTGGAGAAGACTCTTGAGAGTCCCTTGGACAGCGTGGAGATCAAACCAGTCAATCCTATAAGAAATCAACCCTGAATACTCATTGGAAGGATTGATGCTGAAGCTGAAGCTCTAATACTTTGGCTGCCTGATGTGAAGAACTGACTCATTGAAAAAGACCCTGATGCTGAGAAAAGTTGAAGATAAAAGGAAAAGAGTGTGGCAGAGGATGAGGTGGTTAGATAGCATCATCAACTCAATGGACACGAGTTGGAGCAAACTCTTAGAGATAGTGAAGGCCAGGGAAGTCTGGTGTGCTGCAGTCTATGGGGTTGCAAAGAGTTGGACATGACTTAGCAACTGAACAACGATAACAATAATAATCATCTATTTAGTGTGCAGTAACATTATGTCTTTAAAAACATTGTATATACCTTAATTAAAAAGTATTTTATTGCTAAAACTGCTGAACATCATAGGAACTTTAAGCAAGTCTTAATCTTTTAGCTGGTAGAGGGCCCTGCCTCATTGTTGATAAGTTTTGGTTGCTGAAGGTTGGAGAGCCTATGGTAATTTCTTAAAATAAGACGACAGTGAAGTTCACCACATTGATGGACTTTTCACAAATGATTTCTCTATAGCATGCAATGCTGTTTGTTAGCATTTTTACCTGAAGTAAAACTTTCAAAGCTGGTGTCAATCCTCTCGAATCCTGCTGCTATTTTATGAACTAAGTTTACATAATATTCTAAATCTCTTGTCATCATTTCAGTAATCTTCATAGCATCCATACTAGGAGCAGGCTTATTTTATCTCAAGAAACCACTTTCTTTAATCATACCTAAGAAGCATCTCCTTAAGTGTTAAAATATTCTCATGAGATTGCAATGAAATTCAGTCTCATCTTCAGACTCCACTTCTAATTCTAGTTCTCTTGCTATTTTTATCACATTACTACCTCCACTGAAGTCTTGACCTCTTTAATGTTGTCCATGAGGGTTGGAGCCAGCTTTTTCCAAACCCGTGTTAATGTTGATATTTTTACTTCTTCCCATGAAATATGAATATTCTTAATGGTGTCCAGAGTGGAGTTGCAAAGTTGGACACAGCTTTGCAACTGAAAACTAGAATGATGGATCCATTCCAGAAGGTTCTTTTCTTTCTTTCTTTTTTTTTTTGCCATGCCACATGGCTTACAGGATCTTAATTCCTGGACCAGAGATTGAAAACAGGCCCCAGCAATGAAAGTGATGAGTCCTAACTGTTGGACCACTAGGGAATTCCCAAAAGGTTTTCAGTTGAATTTGCCCAGATCTA